CTTTCCAGGTTCGTTGCGGCGCGTCTGAGTCGAGCGATGCCCCGGGGCGGGGCATTCCCAAAGATAGCGCCTCAACGCCTCGACCCGTGAGCAGCCTAAGGTATCCATCAGGATCAAATTTTCCTCCGCCGGTGTGAACATCGCCCGATTGACGACATCCATCGCCGCGCGTTCCTCCAGATAGGCGATCTCATCCATGTAGACCTCATAGCGTAGGGCGCAGCGCGTCATCGGCAGACGCGACCTGGCCACATCATTGCCCACCACACTTTGGAGGAAAAACCGCTCGCCAAGCCACTGGGCCTTTTTCGTTGGCGAAAACCCGGACATCAGCACGCTCCGCTTCGCAATCTCGCAGATATCCGCCGAGGAGAGGGACCAAACGTTCTGGGCGGTGGTGTATTCCTCCAAAAGGGGCTGCTCCGTGTTGTGGAACATGAGCGCCCCGTCGGTGCCCAAGGACACGTTCAGGCCCTGACGGAAGAAGGAGGGAAACGGGTTATCGGAATATTTGCAAAACAGCGCGTTGTTCGACAACGGCACAACGGCAAGGGGGATCTGCGTGAGATAGTACAAATACCGCAGCGCAGGCCGTTTCATGAGGTTGATGCCATGGCCGATGCCGTTGGCGAGAAGAAAGACGTCGGCCATGTGATCGGGGTCGCCGCTTTCGCCCGCGTGAGGTCGGAAGTCGAACGTGCACAACCCCTTTGAGGCGCGAAAGCGATTAAGGGTGGTGATGTTGGCCCACATGTAGTACATGTAATACGTAAAAGGCGGATTTTCGGCACATGTCCATTCCTTCGGCGGTACTAAGATCCGATCACCCGATTCCAGGTTGCTTTCATTGTCAACGCTGTCGAAGCCGGAGACGTGTTGAAGAAAATAGTCCAGTAGCGGGTGTTTCTCGGGATGGAGTGAGGCCATCCAGAGAGGGTTAAAGATATTCCAAAGCATTTCTTCGAAATTTTTTACCAAACCCGTGAAGCGATACAGGTTAAAAAGGCGAGGAATCTGAATCATCCAGCGGTTGGTGTGGTGCGCCATGTTCTGAATGACAAACCAATTCGCCAGACGCATCCACTCGCCATGATCACGGCCGTAAATCGAGAGGCGATTCTCAGTAAAAATGTTGCCCTCCTTGTCGTTCTTGTCGAAGACCTCGTTTCGGATGAGTTCAGCAAAGTAGCGCCCACCCATAAAATTGTCCGTTTTCAGCAGAAGCGAGCGCAGTTCAGAGACACGCATCGGACTGTAGCGGCTGTTAAATTCATCAAACCGGTTAAACGTGGACTTTCCGGCCTGAACGTCAAGCGCTGCTATTGTGAGATCTTGAATTTCCTTCGGTGGCGACTCCCCCAAGGTTATTTCATTGTCACCGGTGCGATAGACGTAAGGTTGGGATGTCCCGTTCACTCTACCATTTCCTGGGGAAAAAAGATCATGCCGTTTTTGAACCACCTTGCGAAATATTTCCCTAAGTGTGATGGAACGACCTGTCTCGGTATCCACCCCAACGACATCATCGCCGTGATAGTGAACCTTGTGTTTGATAAACAGCAAAAGGGACTTGGCGGTGAAACCACCGGCCATGTGGGAGTGCACATCAACCTTAACGACATTAAAAATATCCGTTTTGGGGTCCCGCTTTCGAACAAGCCTATGCGGCCCAGAATATGTTTTGACAGCGTGTTTTTCAACCGTAGAAATACCACAGGATGTCGCATTAAATACTTCCTTGATCTTTGATGTGTTTGAATTCGAGGGGAGGTGCACAGTCGTCGAAATTGCATTTTCGTACTCCCCTGAAGGTACCTGGACAAAGTATGACTCCTCGTCGTCTTTGGTCAAGGCGACATGTAGATTATACTTGCACTCTAGCATCCCTAGTCGTTTTAAGCAAAAATCTTGCACCTTCAGGTCGCTGCTGAGCGAGCGAAGCTGGTGCGCGTGCTGCTGAAAGGTGGCCCACGTTGGAAGAGGAACAAATGGATGCGTATTGTAGGATGTATCGGTCGTCTTTTCTGGCGATCGTTTTCTCTCGTGAGAGCCTCGAGTGCTGTTTTTACCCGAGAACACTACGTCTATAACACCGTCGCGAATAGCATAGGAATCAAATGGCAAAGACGTGGCCGCATTGGCACCTATGTTAGCCCCTAAATTGGATTGACGAGGTAATAAATCCTTCCCCATGTTCTGGCCACCCTCCTGCGTCGCGGCGCCTTCCTTATGGAAGCACAACGAGGGCATAACAGCATACTGTTGGTAATGTTGCCGCAGCGCCATGCAGTGAACGATCATTTTGGCTACGGAGCTTGGGCGCTCGTTTTTTGGACCGATGATCATAATACGCGGAAACCGCAGCGTCTCCTCCAGATGTTCCCGCTTCGATTTATTCCCGCAATCGTGGTAGGCGGTAGGACCCTCCGGGTTGCCGTCGCCCTCCTCCCCCAGCGCGTGCAAAAACGGCTCAGACGGGATATTAAAAAACAAGTACAGCCCATTCCGCTGCGTGAGAAGCCGCGAGTCGTGCGAGTCGCGCAGGGCGTCATC